ATCTCCAACAAAGTTGCCACGATTGTCACAAACACTATCAATCCATGTCATTGAGAGTCTTCTTCTCCTTGGCTGACCCTCCCCCTTTCCAAGCTTGATGTCCCTTCCCAAGGAATCGCCCCTCCTAGCATGTGAGAAGAACAGCTTCAATTCTTCTCCTGTCATCCTTCTTCACTATTCAGCTCTCAGATGCACAGCAGGTGATTGGGAAGACTGTAGCTTTAATCAGGTGCATCTTGCCCTTCAGGACTTTGGAGAGGTCCCAGACAGCAGACTTTCCCAATGTTGTACACCTCCCAACCTCCTGACTGCTGATACTAAGGGTATTGATTGTGGATCCAAGTAAGATGAAACTGTTGACCATTTTAATCCTTTCTTCACCTATCAAGATGTCACATATGGGTCCAGTGATGAGAATTTTTGTTGTCTTGACATTGAGATAGAATCCATATCGAAGGCTTCAGTCCTTGATTCTCTGCAGCAAGTGTCTCAGGTCCTGCTTGCTTTTAGCAAGCAAGGTTATGTCCTCGGCATACTGCAAGTTGTTGATGAATCTTCTTCCAACACTGATGCCACACTCTTCTTCACAAAATGCAGCTTCTCTAATCCTTTTTTTTCAGCATAAAGATTGAGTAGGTGTGGAGAAAGGACATAGCCCTGATGCAAACCTTTTCTGATTTTAAACGATGCAGTGTTTCCTTGCTTTGTTCAGACAGCATGTCTTGGCCAAGGTATAGATTTCATATAAGCATAATTAAGTGTCTGGGATTTCCATTCTTCTCAGTGTTAGTCATAGTTTGTTATGATCCACACAGTCGAATGCCTTTGCATAGTCAATAAAACAAAAATAGCCATTCTTCTGATATTTTCTCACTCTGTCAGGATCCATCTGACATCAGCAATGATATTCCTGTTGCCATGGTCTCTTCTAAACTAGTCTGAACTTTTGGTAGTTATCTGTCAATGTACTTTAAAAGCCATTTTTGGATGATATTCAGCAAATTTTGCTTGCCTTCAATATCAATGACATTGAGAATTTCCACATTCTATTGGACCACCTTCCTTGGGAATAGGAACAAACATGGATCTATTCCAGTTCGATGGCCAAGTAGCTGTCTTTGAAGTTTCCTGATACAGACTGATGAGTATGTCCAGAGCTGCATCTTGTCAATTGGTAACAATCCCATCCAAGTCCACAAAACCCAAAATATGATCTTGAGCTATTCTAATTGAATTTTAAAACCATCTTGAGAATAGGTTTGACACACAGAACAGTAATGACCAGACACCAGATGAGTCATAGGATGACACCAAGTTTATCACCCATGAAGAGAGCAAAATATTATTACAAACATGGGGAAGAAAGAAAAGGCTATAATGGGTTCCAGAAGAGATTCTGAAACTTACACTGGAAAAAGAAGCCAAAACACGGAGAAAAAATTCTGAGGTAAGAGGGCTGAAGATAAGTTCTCAAAGGGCATCTCAAGAAAACAAAGTATTTTAATGACATCTACAAGGAGCTGGAGTTAGAAAACCAAAAGGGAAGAACATACTAGACATTTCTAAAGCCGAAAGAGCTAAAGAACAAATTCAAGCCTCATATGAAAATACTGAAAGAGTCTATGGGCAAAAGTCTGAATGATGCAGAAGTAATCAAAAGAAGATGGAAAGAATATACAGAATCAGTGTACCAGAAAGAATTGGTCAACACTGAACATTTCAGAAGTAGCATATGATCAAGGCCCAATAGTAATGAAGATGTTCAAGCTGCACTGTGGCATTGGCTCAAAACAAGACTCTAAGACTTGATGGAACACCAATTGACATGTTTCAACAAACACA